TGTTTGTAGATCTTACTTTACTGAACATTCTTGCTGCTTACAATTATCTCTATCTATAATGATCTTGGCCCAGTAGTTACAGTGGAAAATATTTTGTAAAAATTTACAAAAATTTATGAAAATTATAAAAAATTGACTATAAATGGCAATAACTCCTTAAGGGGTCAATTGACAATTTTGGACATGTTGACTTATTTGTAGATCTTACTTTGCTGTACATTATTGCTGTTTACAGTTTATCTCTATCTATAATAATATTCAAGATAATAACCAAAAGCTGCAAAATTTTCCTAAAATTACCAATTCAGGGGCATCAACCCAACAATGTGTTGCCTGATTGGTCTGAAAATTTCAGGGCAGATAGATCTTGACCTAATGAACAATTTTATTGTCAGATTTGCTCTAAATGCTTTGGTTTCAGAGATATGAGCCAAAAACTGCATTTTACCCTATGAACTATTTTTTAGCCATGTCGGCCATCTTGGTTCGCGGGCGGGTCATCGGACACATTTTTTAAACTAGATACCCTAATGATGATTTTGGACAAGTTTGGTTAAATTTGTCTTGGTAGTTTCAGAGGAGAAGATTTTTGTAAAAGATAACAATAAAATGCTCCGCAGGGCGCAGCTTGATACGACCGCAGAGGTCGAACCCTGAACAGTTGGGGCAAGTATGGACACAACATTCAAGCTTGATACAGCTCTGAATTTGGATTGTGATTAAATATTTGACACAGCATAGGTTTCTGACACAGAATGAATGTGGTCTAAGAACTTAAAAATTTTAAATTGGACATTCACCTATTATGGTCCAATATCTAAAATCTAAATACATGGTTAGATTCAGCATATCAAAGAACCCCAAGAATTCAATTTTTGATGAAATCAAACAAAGTTTAATTTTGGACCCTTTTGACCTCAATGTGGACAAAGTTGATAACGGGGCCCAAAAATCAAAAATCTAAATACATGGTTAGATTCAGCATATCAAAGAACCCCATATATTCAATTTTTGTTGAAATCAAACAAAGTTTAATTTTGGACCCCGATTTGGACCAACTTGAAAACTGGGCCCATAATCAAAAATCTAAATACATGTTTAGATTCAGCATATCAAAGAACCCTAAAAATTCAATTTTTGTTAAAATCAAACTAAGTTAAATTTTGGACCCTTTGGACCTTTAATGTAGACCAATTTGAAAACGGAACCAAAAATTAAGAATCTAAATACACGTTTAGATTCGGCATATCAAAGAACCCCAATAATTCAATTTTTGATGAAATCAAACAAAGTTAAATTTTGGACCCTTTGGACCTCAATGTGGACCAATTTAAAAACGAGGCCCAAAATCCAAAAACTTAATACACGGTTAGATTCAGCATATTAAAGAACCCCAAGAATTCAAGTATAAAACCCCATTGAAATTGATCAAGAAATAAGCAATTTATACAAAGTATCTTCTTTTGCACAATACTGTGCAATTGAATATTTCTTGCTATTGCGCAATACTGTACAATTGACAATTTCTTGCTATTGCGCAATATTGTGCTATTGGATATTTCTTGCTATTGCGCAATACTGTGCAATTGAAGATTTCTTGCTATTGCGCAATACTGTGTAATTGAAGATTTCTTGCTATTGTGCAATACTGTGCAATTGAAAATTTCTTGCTATTGCACAATACTTATTATATAATAATTTACACATCCTGTTTGGTGTGTATCTCCTACCTTATCATTATTATTTGCTTTTAAATATAAATCAGAAATAACCAACTTAACATGGAAAATTTTAAAAGAAAAAAAAAAGGAAAAAAAGAAAAAAAAAAATCCCCCCCCAAATTTTTTGAACCCCCTTATGATTCATCACCCCCAATCTAAATCCCAGCCTTCCCTTTGTGGTATGGTACCTTGCAGTACAATTTCAGAGAGATCCATACACTTGAACACAAGTTATTGTCTGGAAAACTAGAAAAATGCTTATTTTTGGCCCCTTTTTGGCCCCCAATTCCTAAACTTTTCGGGCAATTACCCCAAAACTCAATTCCAGCTTTTCCTTTGTGATATGGAACCTTGTAGTACAATTTCAGAAATATCCAAACACTTACACACAAGTTATTGTCATGAAACTAGAAAAATGCTTGTTTTTTGCCCCTTTTTTGGCCCCTAATTCCTAAAATTTTGAGGCAATTACCCCCAAAATCAATTACAGCCTTCCCTTTGTGATATGGAACCTTGTGGTACAATGTCAGAGAGATCCATACACTTACACACAAGTTATTGTCTGGAAGTTACAAAAATGCTTATTTTTGGCCCCTAATTCCTTAACTGTTGATACCATAACCCCCAAAATCAATCCCAACCTTCCTTTCGTGGTATTGAACCTTATGGTAAAATTTCATAGAGATCTATTCACTGAAACTAAAGTTAGAGTGCGAAAACCAATGTGTCTTCAGACGACGCCGGACGACGCCAACGTCATACCAATATACGACCAAAAATTTTTGCGGTCGTATAAAAATTTACGAAAAATGGTTAAAAAGTGACTATAAAGGGCAATAACTCCTTAAGGGGTCAACTGACCATTTTGGTCATAGTGACTTATTTGTAGATCTTACTTTGCTGAACATTATTGCTGTTTACAGTTTATCTCTTTCTATAATAATATTCAAGACAATAACCAAAAACGGCAAAATTTCCTTAAAATTACCAATTCAGGGGCAGCAACCCAACAATGGGTTTTCAGATTCATCTGAAAATTTCAGGGCAGATAGAATTTGACCTGATAAACAATTTTACCCCATGTCAGATTTGCTCTAAATGATTTGGTTTCAGAGATATAAGCCAAAATCTACATTTTACCCCTATGTTCTATTTTTAGCCATGGCGGCCATCTTGGTTAGTTGGCCGGGTCACTGGACACATTTTTTAAACTAGATACCCTATTGATGATTGTGGACAAGTTTGGTCAAATTTGGCCCAGTAGTTTCAGAGGAGAAGATTTTTGTAAAAGTTTACTGACGACGGACGCCAAGTGATGAGAAAAGCTCACTTGGCCCTTTGGGCCAGGTGAGCTAAAAAGTCTGGATCCTAACAGTTCTTTACCCAAGTCATAAAATGTGTCAGGTTGGGCAAGAAAATTAAGAGTAGGTCCAGAAATAAGCCATTAGATTTTCTCAAAGTTTCATTAAAATCCAGCCATTGGTTGAAAAGGAAGAGCAGGGCTCACACTAGTAGGCGACTGGGGCGATAAAGTCTCTTTCCCGTCTGTCAAAAGCGATATCTAGTCGCCCTGTTGTTCACAATACTCGCTTTCAGTCGCTTTCGTCATCTGCAATTTTCAATTTTTACCAAGTCGATGAAACAGCAATTTTTCATTGAATAAAGAAATTCAAAGAAATAAAAAATTAATTTTCTTTAGAAAAGAGGTTAAAGCATTGACTTTAAAGTTGGTTGCATGTTATTTCATAAAGACAATTTTTTATCACTTCCAGTAACTTACTCGAGAGCGTACATCAATTATTCAACTTTCGGCAAAATAAGTTTTCGAAGAGTTGAAGATAAATTGTCTGGACACATGAAAATATAAAAGGAGACAAAGAAGCACTAAACCCCCCCCCCCCCCCCCCCCCGATTCAGTCAGTGGTTGATAATAGGGCCTTTAGGTCTCTGGTGAATAATCCTTTTTATGTGAAGAAAGAAGAAATGAAACACAGTACTTTTATTTTAACATAAACCTCAAACATTTTATTATCAATTGTAATCACCAGAGCACAGAAAATATTTGGCATTATCAGAGTAACTATGACAACACCTTCACATTGGGAGAAGTTACGCTGGTGTCAGAACGACTACAGCACATCTCCCTGGGGTCAAAGTGGTCATCATCATTTAAAGCCATAAATCAAAAATAGACATTCCTAAGGTTTTTCTACTAAAAATCGGGTACTTCGAACTGATTCTCTGCAAACTAGACTTATTTCAAGGGAAGCCGGAGTGCCTGGAGAGAAAGGATTCAACCACCAACCTTCGGCAGGAAAACTGACAAATACTGGTAAAGAGAATTTCTCTTATAGTTCAGTACATTTACTGTAGTGTCATAAACAAACATATAGGGTTGTTATCATGGGAGAGAAGTACATGTACATTTTTTTTCTGCTTGTTTTATGTGAATACTAGTAACAAATGTATGTTTATCCTTAGCAAAAATTCATCTAAAATAACACTTAGTTAATTCAAAATTTTGACTGGCGTAAAGTTTGTAAATTTGATCAATGAAATGAAAGCAACTACAGTTACAATTCCCTCAAGCAAATTTACCATAGACCAATTTGGTTCTTGAATATTTCACACTTTTACCTTTCCATTTCTTTTTGTCTAACGCTGTCATATTAACTTTGATCTCATGTGCATAACCTACTATTTTTTTCACTAAATGAAAATTTATCAGTACTATCAGTGTAACTATGACAACCAAGTCACAGAAAGTAGTTATGCTATTGTCAAAACGACGTAAGCACCACTTTCTAGGTTTAGAATTTATCATCACTTAGTACTGATGTAAAGCACGGTCACATTCCAAAAAATAAATGGAGAATGTGTATATGGGACACAGATGAAACCCCGCTTGCATATAACGTTTTAAAGGGACATAACTCAAAAACGGTAAACGTGACACCACCCAAATTTGAACTTGATCTGTATTTTGTGGAAATAAGCATTTACTTTGACCTATAATGGTTTACTTTTATAAATTTGACTTGGATGGAGAGTTGTCTCATTGGCACTCATACCACATCTTCTTATATCTATTGTGCATCATTCCCAGGAGTCCATAGCCCTAAAATGAAGCTAGCCTACAAATTTTCTCCACACTATTGCTTGATACTATACTGGGCCACCAAAAATATTGGCTGGGCTACCATTTGAAAAATTTATTTTCCATCTTTACAACACTGAAATGTTCACAAGACCTGACTCCACTCAGGCTATAATACCTACCCATAACACGACTAGCACTGAATTGTTCATCCAGACCTTGCTCTACTTTAGCAATCTTTTGTCTTTCCTGGTATTTCTTCACAAGTTTCTTGGAAGCTTTGTCTAATTTGTTAAGAACACCTTCTTCTTGTTCTGTCTGAAATGGGGAAAAGATAAAAATTTCAAAATACATGTATGACAATTAGCATTTAGCTTTAAATCATGCTGTTCATATATATAGGACATCAGACCCATTTCTAGGTAAAAATAGGGGATAGAAGCATTTGCACATACAAAACACAGTGTGCATTGATTGAGTTAAGAGGGTATCTTTGAAAGTCAATTTTTGAGGTGAAAATTTGAAAGCAGCAAAAATAAAGCAACATGAATGTGGTAATTATATTAGTATCAATTGAAATACATGTGGATAGTGTCCACATGTGGACACAGATGATGCCCCAGCTTGCATATCATATAGTTATAAAGGGACATAACTGAAAAACGGTAAAAGTGACGCTACCCAATTCAGCAATTTTTCTATTTGTAAACACGTATAACTCTAGAACGGTTGTGTAAAAGTTTTATAACATTTGGTTGAGACAAACTAAAGTTAGAGAACGGAAACGAAAAATTCAGCAATTTTTATGTTTATAAAGGGACATTACTCAAAAATGGTAAAAGTTTTCTCACCAAATTTCGTACTCAATCTGTATTATGTAGTAATAAGCATGGTGTATAAGTTTCATAACATTTAGTTGAGGAAAACTAAATTCAGAAAACGGAAACAAAAAATTTGTATTTGATCTTAATTTTGTGGTAATGAATATTGTTTATAGGTTTCATAATGTTTGGTTGGGGCAAACTTAAGTTACAGAATGGAAACTAAAATTTTTGCAATCTTTCGATTTATAAAGGGGCATATAATTATACACTCAACACTGAGGTTGTGAGTTTGTATACTGCATGTGGCACTGGCAAGTGCACTTGACTCCAATCATAATTGTATATCTCTTTATTTATATAATGTTAAATTGAAATGGATTAATTCACCTACAGACAAACCAAATGTCCCGATTTATTTCAGTGATTGGTGTTGAAACAAGCCAGGACAATGTTTGTACAGTACCATCAGATATAAAATAATCCATCAGGACTCAGCCGAAAGATGGTGTTAGTTTTAATCATCATTGATACTGAATTCAGACTGTTTCTTACCACTTACCCCTTGCAACCCTCGCCAAACTGTCGTCACCATTAACCCCTCAAACCCATGTCAAATTTTTGTCACATTTACCCCGCCAATACTTGTCAAACTGTTGTCACCACTTGCCCCTCAAACCCTTATCAAACTATGTCACCATTTATCGAACCCCTGTCAAATTCAATGTCACAAATTGCCCCTATAACCCTGGTAACTGTTCGTCATTTAATCAACATGATAATTACATATCTCTGGAACATAGTAAATTTGGTCAAGTTATAACTGGATCCTGGTTCTTAGTTCCTAGCAACGTTTCCAAATTTAAAATGATATGTTGGAAGCAAATGTATGTTGGCATTGGCAACCAGTTTCCAGTAGTTCGATGCCCCAGACTATTACAATTTTATTCTGACAAGCAATAAAAACAAAACTCTAATTTACACACACAAAAAATAAATGTGGATAGTGTTTGTCACTGTATATTTTTGGGTCGGCACCTAATTCCTGGAATCATTGTCAAACTGTATGTCAACACTAATCCCTTGAACCCTTGTAAAACTTTATTTCACATCTTACCCCTATTACCCTTTCTAATCAGAAGTGTTGTGTTCAACTTTTGCAACCTTTGTCAATCTGTCATCATTTAAACCCCAAACACTTGTCCAATGATATGTCACCACTTAAACCTCAAACCCTTGTCCAATGTTATGTCACCACTTAAACCTCAAACCCTTCTCCAATGTTATATCACCACTTAAACCTCAAATCCTTGTCCAATGTTATGTCACCACTTATACCTCAAACCCTTGTCCAATGTTATGTCACCACTTATACCTCAAACTCTTGTCCAATGTTATGTCACCACTTAAACCTCAAACCCTTGTCCAATGTTATGTCACCACTTATAACTCAAACTCTTGTCCAATGTTATGTCACCACTTAAACCTCAAACCCTTGTCCAATGTTATGTCACCACTTAAACCTCAAACCCTTGTCCAATGTTATGTCACCACTTAAACCTCAAACCCTTGTCCAATGTTATGTCACCACTTAAACCTCAAACCCTTGTCTAATTTTATATCACCACTTAAACCTCAAACCCTTGTCCAGTGTTATGTCATCACTTATACCTCAAACTCTTGTCCAATGTTATGTCACCACTTAAACCTCAAACCCTTGTCCAATGTTATGTCACCACTTATACCTGTAACCCTTGTCCAATGTTATGTCTTCTTTTAAAACTCAAACCCTTGTCCAATATTTTTGTCACCACTTAAACCTCAAACCCTTGTCCAATGTTATGTCACCACTTAAACCTCAAACCCTTGTCCAATGTTATGTCACCACTTAAACCTCAAACCCTTGTCCAATGTTATGTCACCACTTAAACCTCAAACCCTTGTCCAGTGTTATGTCATCACTTATACCTCAAACTCTTGTCCAATGTTATGTCACCACTTAAACCTCAAACCCTTGTCCAATGTTATGTCACCACTTATACCTGTAACCCTTGTCCAATGTTATGTCGTCTTTTAAAACTCAAACCCTTGTCCAAAATTTATGTCACCACTTATACCTCAAACCCTCACCACTTAAACCTCAAACCCTTGTCCAATTTTATGTCACCACTTAAACCTCAAACCCTTGTCCAATGTTATGTCACCACTTAAACCTCAAACACTTGTCCAATGTTATGTCACCACTTATACCTCAAACCCTTGTCCAATGTTATGTCACCACTTAAACCTCAAACCCTTGTCCAATGTTATGTCACCATTTTAACCTCAAACACTTGTCCAATGTTATGTCACCACTTAAAGCTCAAACTCTTGTCTAATGTTATGTCACCACTTAAACCTCAAACCCTTGTCCAATTTTATGTCACCACTTAAACCTCAAACCCTTGTCCAATGTTATGTCACCACTTAAACCAATGTTATGTCACACAGTACCATCAGATATAAATTAATCCATCAGGACTCAGCCGAAAGATGGTGTTAATATTTTAATCATCATTGATACTGGTTTCAAACTTTTTGTCAACACTTAATTCCTTGAACCTTTTGTCTAACTTTATGTCATCTTACCCCTTGAACCCTTGTCAAAACTAAACGCCACCACTGACCCATTAAAACATTGTCAAACTCAAAGTCACCACTGACCCCACAATTCTTTGTTAAAACTATATGTCACATCCTACACATTGAACCCTTGTTTAAACTATATGTCCCATTTAACCCTTTGAAGCTTTTTCAAGACTATATGTCACATCTAACCCTTTGAATCCTGGTCAAAATACACATCTAACTAACATCTCAAACCCTGCTTAACTTGTTTGCCTCACAGTACCATCAGATATAAAATAATCCATCAGGACTCAGCCGAAAGATGGTGTTAGTTTTAATCATCATTGATACTGAATTCAGACTGTTTCTTACCACTTACCCCTTGCAACCCTCGTCAAACTGTTGTCACCATTAACCCCTCAAATCCATGTCAAATTTTTGTCACATTTACCCCGCCAATACTTGTCAAACTGTTGTCACCACTTGCCCCTCAAACCCTTATCAAACTATGTCACCATTTATCGAACCCCTGTCAAATTCAATGTCACAAATTGCCCCTATAACCCTGGTAACTGTTCGTCATTTAATCAACATGATAATTGCATATCTCTGGAACATAGTAAATTTGGTCAAGTTATAACTGGATCCTGGTTCTTAGTTCCTAGCAACATTTCCAAATTTAAAATGATATGTTGGCAGTGATCGGGAAGGTCAAGCGCCATGCGCCAATTGCGCATCTTTACAAAAAATGGTGCATAGAGTCACATATGTCAGCGCCAGAGTGGCGCACAATATTTTCGCTTCGTATCTAAACGTTTAGACATCGTAAATTAAATTTCCGATTGTGTTCCGTGTCGCCATATTTGTGTCCAAAACGGTGTAGTGTTTCGCTCCATTGACCGGACCACCATAACATTTTCGGGTCGTCTCGGGCGTTTTGCTTCATGTTCACGATAGCAACATGTGGTATATCTGATTACCAAAAATGAAACGTAATTAACAATGTTCTAAATATTTCAAAGCAAACATCTTTAAGTCTGTGAATGTTGGCTTGTATAGACTAGAAATTTTCACAAATTATAATATTTAAATTAAACTTGCTATAATTTCAATTGACCCAAGGGCTTTTTTTATTAAATCTTGTAATTGTCTCTATAAAAAGGCGCTTAACTGTCCTTGTCAGTTTTTTGGTCTTTGGTTCGTTTTTTAAATTTTGTAAAACATGCCTCCAAAGAAACAGCGAATTGTGGTTTTGCCCGGACAAAAAACATTACTTTCTTTTGTTGGTCGGGATAAAAACAATAATTCAGAAAATGTCGAGGAAATGCCCCAAACGTCCAACACAAATACGGACATTCCGGATGAAAATATGGCGGTCGATGAAGACCCAAAGGAACTTGAACATGACAAACGCGACGGTCCCGGTGAAGGTATTGTAAATAAAGATCCCCGCAAATATCGCCCGGTTTGGGAAAAGTTATGGCCGTGGCTTTTGTATGATGGCACGAAAATGTATTGCAAATCTTGTCAAAAGGCTGGCAAGAAAAATTCCCTTGCATTAGGCTGTACAACATTCAAAACAAGTACAATGTCTAGACATCAAGAGACACCTGACCACAAACAGGCAATATCTGTTCCAGTACATCAGCAAGAATTTACTAAATCATGTAACAAACTTAACAGTGCTGAGGATGAAGCTGTTATTCTTGCAATGATGGCAGTTTATTGGTTAGCTTCAGAAGATTTGCCTCTTAATAAATATGAATCAATGATTAATTTTTTGAAAAAAATAGGGGTCACCAAACTTGAAAACTTAAAAGTCAATGAAAGAACTAATTATGAAAGTTATTATTCGGCTACAGAAATTCTTGATGTCATTGATTCAGAAATTGAATCTGAAATTGATGAAAAAATTTCCAAATCGCCTTATGTTACTATTCTAGCAGATGAAAGCACTGACATTTCTAACCGTAAAAAAATTACCATTAATGCAAGGATTATTAACCCAGAAACATCAATTCCTGAAACTGTATTCCTACGGGATAAATCGTACGCTGATGGAACTGGCGAAGGTTTGACATCAGTTATTATAGAGGAAATGGCAAAACACAAGATTACAAATGACAAACTAATAGGGTTTGGCTCTGATGGAGCAACTGTCATGTCAGGGTCTGATAAAGGTGTTAAAGGGCGATTGATGGAATTAAACCCACACATGGTACATATTCACTGTATGGCTCATAGGTTAGCCCTTTGTACAAGCCAAGCAGCAGAAGGTGTTCCATTGATGAAACATTATCAGGAATGGCTGACTTCTGTATTTTATTATTTCAAAGCATCCCCGACAAGAGAAGGCGAATTACATGAAGTTCAGTCTGTACTAAATTTACCAATATTAAAATGCAAAGAGATACATGCTGTCAGATGGTTATCCTGTTTTGAGGCTGTGCAGGCGGTTTATCGTAGTCTTGATGCTCTCATTTCATACTTCCATAAAAGGCAAGCATCAAAGGACCCAAAGGCAAAGGGCTTATTAAAAAAAATGGCAACAACTAGTTTTATATATATCACTTATATGCTGATGGATGTACTACCAATAGTGTCGAAGTTATGCTTAACCTTACAAAAGCAAGACCTTGATGTTGCTGTTGCAAAGGTACGTACCACAAAGTAATTATTGTTTTTACCAAATATTATTTCCGGATGATGGCCATCATGGACCATCTGAATAAATTTTATTTTGATATGATATCATTAAAGAAAAGTCACCAAATCATAAGGAAAAGACAAAAGAGTCTTGACAAAATTATGGGTCGGTACAAGAAAAAAAAAAGTAAGAACTTCACACTATGACTAAATAATACAGAAAAATGAATAAAATAATGGATATGAGTTACTAACTACTACATCTACGGTCATTTGGTCTCTGTTGTGACAATCTTATTGGCAATCATACCACATCTCCTTATTTCTTTACTTAATTGTAGTACTCTTTCTTAAGAGTTATGTCCCATTGTTGCATACCTTTAACAAACAAACTTATGCTTAAAATGTCTTCTGCTGATTCTAGGTGTGTCTTGACAGATGCAAGAATGATCTTTTGAAGTACAAGGAAAATACCCAGATTTTTCCAACTCATTTGGAGAAGTTTGATACTGATGTACAGTTGACTGATGGCCATCAAGAATTCAAAGGACACATTCTTTTTAAATCCAACACAAATTTCAATGCATTAAAGAGTTCGTTTGTGAACAAACTCTTGGACAATATAACTAAACGGTAATTACTAGTTATTGCAGCTGTGCTACAGCACTGGGCTTCATAGTTCACACCAAATGTGAAATTAAATTTTAATTGCTAGTATAGAGTATAAATTTATTAACAAACTACAAATAACATAAGTAGCTAAGCTGTAAAGTAAGTGGTAAAAATTAATATTTTATGAAATTATCTCTTAATCATATGTTATTGTTACATTCACATCAAAGTAGTTATCATTCAGTCTTTAGTTTTCTGTGTTGTGTTTTGTACACTGTTATCTTTCCTTTGGTCATTTTCGATTTTAGCCATGCATTCTCAGTTTTTCTTTCAACTAATGAAATTGAATAGATCTTTGGTATATAACCTTCAGTCTCTCTTTTTTCACTATAAATATTACAAACTGAATCACTTAACAATGGGTAAGCCTCATAGATTCTAATCATTATCAATCAAAAAGTATTTATCCATTTCAGGTTTCCGCAGCAAAGTCTTATGAATAATTTCTTTGTTCTGGCAATGAGAAGTATCAATATGGAAGATGATCCTGACAAGTTCGGAGTAACAGAAGTTGGTGAACTCCTAGACCATTTTGGGGAAGAGAAGGTTTTAATTTGAATTTTGATTGATTGTTTGATTTTTCCAGAACTAACTTTTACCATATCCTATGACAGTTCAGTTCAGTTGAATGTTTGACATTATATAACATGTTTTTTTTAAATCTAATCTGTGTCAATGCGATCATCAAAATTAATAAAATGATTTTAAGTTAGTGTGACTATATAAAGCTAAAGTTAAACAAAATTAAAAAATTTATTCTACAGAATTGCATAAATGACATTGATTTTTTTGCCATTTACAGTTCAAAATTGTTTACACTTTATTCTTTTTCATTTCAGGTACACAAAGGAAAAGTCTCTGTCCCCATATTTGATAGAGATATTGTATTGAAAGAATGGAGGGAAGCAAAGATAATCGTAAAATCACTTAAATATCCAGTAGACAGAATGAAGCATCTGTGGCAACTTCTGACTGAACATCACAAAGAAGATCTACCCAATATCATTAAGCTGGCACAAATATCCCTTATCATTCCTCTACACACTGCTGACTGTGAGAGGACATTTTCTATTCAAAACCAAATATTGACCCCAAAAAGGAACCGTCTTAACCATGAACAGTGTGACAAACTTATAAGAATCAAAATTCATGGCAAGGGTTTGGCACAACACAACTTTAAATCTTCTCTTGAAAGGTGGCAAAAGAAGAAGAATAGACTCTTGAAATCAAGATCAAAATATTCTAGTTAAACTTAATGTCTAGATCAGCTAATTTTAGGCTGCCATTGACATTGTTAAATGTTCTAGTCACTCAGTTTAACTTTATTGTTTTTGCCCAGTATAAAATAATTTAAAACAGAGAAAGAGTTATGATTTTTATCTTTTATTTTGTTACTTCTATCATGTCTATGATGGATCATGGTACATGTTGCACATGGTGTATTGTACTGTATTGTTTGATAATTGATATGTTTAAGTTTCATCATGTTTTCTCAAAATAATAAAATTTAATTAATCACAGATTTTTAAATGATTATTTAAAAGTACAGGATCAGTCCAGATCAGATGTCTGTTACATAATGATCTCATTTCCTTAATCATAATTCTGTTCATTGAAGTAGTGTTAGTCTGGTCATATGTTGTTCAGTTGAGTTCTATAGTTTTTTCATAAGTCACTCACAAAGTGTTGATTTCTAAGTGATGTAACATATGATAAACACATACAATGTCAGTCTTTGTCACATATATCAGCATGAACTAAGACCTAAATTATCATTTTTTCACTGAAACTACTAAAGCAGAGGGCCAATACAAATTAGAATCATAAGGTTAGTACCTCTTTCCTGAAACATACAATTTTTTGTTTTTTTTTTTGTTATAAATCAATGGCCCATTCATTTGACAACATGGCCCATTAAATCTCAAATTGGCCCATGAAATTTTTTTTGGGGGGGCCCTGGGCCCATACTGAAAAAATCTTTCCAGATCACTGTGTTGGAAGCAAATGTATGTTGGCATTGGCAACCAGTTTCCAGTAGTTCGATGCCCCAGACTATTGAAATTTTATTCTGACAAGCAATAAAAACAAAACTCTAATTTACACACACAAAAAATAAATGTGGATAGTGTTCGCATGTGGACACAGATGATGCCCTGTTGCATATCATATAGTTATGAAGGGACATAACTGAAGAATGGTAAAAGTGAAGCTACCCAAATTTGAACTTGATCTGAGTTTTGTGGTAATAAGCATTGTGTGTAAGTCTCATAACATTTGGTTGAGGCTAACTTAAGTAGAGAACAGAAACTAAAAATTCAGCAATTTTTCTATTTGTAAACACGCACAACTCTAGAACGGTTGTGTATAAGTTTTATAACATTTGATTGAGACAAACTAAAGTTAGAGAACGGAAACGAAAAATTCAGCAATTTTTATGTTTATAAAGGGACATAACTCAAGAATGGTAAAAGTGTTGCCACCAAAGTTCGTACTTAATCTGTATTATGTAGTAATAAGCATTGTGTATAAGTTTCATAACATTTGGTTGAGGCAAACTAAAGTTAGAAAACAGAAACAAAAAATTCGTATTTGATCTTAGTTTTTTGGTAATGAATATTGTGTATAGGTTTCATAATGTTTGGTTGGGGCAAACTTAAGTTACAGAATGGAAACTAAAAATTTTGCAATCTTTCGATTTATAAAGGTGTACAACTCAATAATAGGTTAATTGACACTACCCAAATTCAACCTGATGTGTGTTTTATCAGTGGAAGTCAAAATTTAACATTGCATTGTATAAAGCATTGATTGTAGTTGATTCAACTATAATCATGGACAAAGGAAGATAACTCCAAGTTGAATAAAATGCTCCGCTGGGCGCAGCTTGATATGACCGCAGAGGTCGAACCCTGAACAGTTGGGGCAAGTATGGACACAACATTCAAGCTTGATACAGCACTGAATTTGGATTGTGATTAAATATTTGCCACAGCATAGGTTTCTGACACAGAATGAATGTGGTCTAAGAACTTAAAATTTTTTAATTTACCTATTCAAACCATATCATTAATATTTGCTTTTATATATAAATCAGAAATAACCAATTTAAAATGGAAAATTTTAAAGAAAACAAAAGGAAACCCCCCCCTCCCCCAATTTTTTGAACCCCCTTATGATTCATCACCCCCAAACTCAATCCCAGCCTTCCCTTTGAGGTATGGTACCTTGTAGTACAATTTCAGAGAGATCCATACACTTGAACTGGAAACTAGAAAAATTCGAAAGGGTTCCACGGAACCCAGTGTCTCACCTACTTTTGCTGTTAATTGCAGGCTCAACAAAAATGAGGAAAAAAATCAATAAAAATATTCCTTTAGATACTATCTTTTGATTGTAAGAAGCTTCTGTCAAAGTTTGGTATAAATCCAGGATAGTATAAGAAAGTTATTAAAATTTCAAAAACTTTAACCACAGAGTGAATATTTGTGGACGCCGCCGCCGACGGAATATAGGATCGCTATGTCTCGCTTTTTCGACTAAAGTCGAAGGCTCGACAAAAATGCTTGTTTTTAGGCCCCTTATTCCTAAACATTTAGGGCAATTACCCCCAAACTCAAACTCGGCTTTCCCTTTGTGATATGAAACCTTGTAGTACAATTTATAAAGATCCATACACTTACACACAAGTAATGGTCCTGAAATTAGAAAAATGCTTGTTTTTTTTCCCCCTTTTTGGCCCCCCAATTCCTAAAATTTTGAAGCAATTACCCCCAAAATCAATCCGAGCCTTCCCTTTATGGTATGGTACTTTGCAGTACAATTTCAGAGAGATCCAAACACTTAAACAAAAGTTATTGTCTGGAAACTATAAAAATGCTTGTTTTAGGCCCTTTTTGGCCCCTTATTCCTAAACGTTTTGGGCAATTACCCCCAAACTCAATTCCAGCTTTCCCTTAGTGATATGGAACCTTGTAGTACAATTTCAGAAAGATCCATACACTTACACTCAAGTTATTGTCATGAAACTAGAAAAATGCTTGTTTTTTGCCCCTTTTTTGGCCCCTAATTCATAAAGTTTTGAGGCAATTACCCCCAAAATCAATCCCAGCATTCCCTTTGTGATATGGAACCTTGTGGTACAATGTCAGAGAGATCCATAAATTAACACACAAGTTATGTCGAAGTTACAAAAATGCTTATTTTTGGCCCCTTATTCCTTAACTGTTGGTTCCATAACCCCCAAAATCAATCCCAACCTTCCTTTTGTGGTATTGAACCTTATGGTAAAATTTCATAGAGATCCATTCTCTTAAACTAAAGTTGGAGTGCGAAAACCATTGTGTATAAGTTTCATAACATTTGGTTGAGGCAAACTTAGAGAACGGAAACCAATTTTGGGATGTACGGAAGGATGGACGTACGTACAGACGGACAAGGGTCAAACTTAATGCCCCCATCGCTACGGCGGGGGCATAAAAAATGTCTGAATACGTCTTTGGACTAGTAGTTGGAAAAAATTTTGGTGTAAACTGCCTCAGTATGTTAGGCATGGATTGAAATTGATCGACTAGTATAAATATCCCCTTGTTGAAGTACTGCAGTTGACAATAATTTAGGAATAAGTAAATACCATTTGTACAATATACCAACCAGTTTAACATTCTTCTTTCTACCAAGAGGTTTAGCATAGTGTGCTTCATACCACTGCCTGAATGGTGTGGCATCGATAGAGACGACAGCACTCTTGACCAGAGTTTTGGTTCTCACCAACTCATTGTTACTGGCATTGTATAAAACATCAATAATACGTGTCTTTCTTGCAATAGCTGAAATGATAATATTGACATTATATTCCTGGTTTTATGTAAAACACAAATAATCTCAAGTCTCTCTTATGCTAAAGATTCATTTTCCTTAAGACCCAATTTTTGGTGTTTTTTTTAAGAATGATTTCTTTGACCTCAGGTCAACAGGTATAAATGATGTCACTGAACAATTGACTTTCACTGTGACGTATTAACATAAACATGGTGACATCAGAAATGTCAAGGAAAATGCATGAATGTAAAAGTCTTTTTGGAAAGCATTATTCATATTTCAAAAGAAAGTTACCTTATATATATATATATATATATATAATTCTTCTAAATAATAGCCCAACAATGTTAGATCTGCAAATTTGCGGAAGCAAATTTTTTGTTCTTCCCTGGCCGGGAGTCGAACTCATGTATAGTTTAATTTATTGTTTACATACTGTAAATTCAGAAATTATTGTGAGGTTTTTATAAATGCGACTTGGGGTGATTATTGCAATTATAAGAACTCGCATTCGGATATCTGATACATATATCTGTACGCAGATTTTTCTGAAATTGCAATCATTAATATTGCATTATTGTACATTCTTCAAAAATTGCATTAATAAATGCACACAATATTTTCTAAATTTACAATATTGAAAATTCAAAAATCTTACTCTCAAACAATATAAATTAAGACTTTTTTTTATACATTTGATTGATTAAATTAGAACATATTCATCATACATTGCAGGTGAATATGTTTTCATACTGCAACTAGTTGTGTTTATTTCCTAAATATAGTAACAAAGCTATATTTTGTACAATGTCAATTTCATCAGGATCACTTTTTACACAATCAGGGGTTCATTTAGGGATGAAAATCAGTTTGAAATTTGTTTTACAATTTAATTAGCTATCAATGTATTAATTAAAGTTGCAGTACAAAAACAATATTAGGTCAATGTCAGAAAAATTTAAAGTTTTTTGTATTCGGCACAAAACCGAGAAAGGGCTCAGTACAACCTCGCCCTTCCCTGGTTTTGTGCTGAAAAAAAGTTTATATTTTTCTGACATTGACCTAATATTGTTTATATATTACACTCTGAACCATCAGAAATATTGATTACATCACATCTCAGTCGAAAGATGGTGATTGTTTAATCATCATTGGTTCAAAAAGTTCAAGTCAAGATTCTACTGAGTCTGATTTTGAAGGTTACACTTGATATATATTTACAGAATGTGTACATGTATACAGTCAAGTAAAACAATATTTAGCTATCAGGAAGTTAGTGTATTCTTTTGTCTTAGTGTGTATATTCTTTCAAAGTACCAATTTGATAAACTGCTTTACCATTTTGCAGTTGGAAGTCATCTCTTTAAATTGATCACCCAATAAAATATTTTAACTCATGGCAACTTAAAAATTGTTGGTATAAAGTAAGTGCAGTGTAACAAAAAATATTGTTCACATGAATATATGGAACGGACTAAATTATCAACAGCATCGTGTCAAAGTTTGAACAATCAGTTGAAAGATGGTGTATGATGTTTAAATCTGTTATAGAAAGTAATTACTATGACAACTGCCACATTAGGAAAAAATAAAATTCCATAAGACTTAATACAGAAATGTCTTGACAGCTTCACAAATGAATCTTATCATATTCAAGATATCTGTTGCACATTTGAACAATGTAATAAACTGCTTCGCTGAGCGCAGCTGGATACGCCCGCAGAGGTCCAACCCTGAACAGTTGGGGCAAAAATGGACACAATATTCAAGCTTGATACAGGTCTGAATTTGGATTGTAATAAAATATTTGATATATTATAGGTTTCTGAATAAATGTAGTCAAAGAACTTGAAATTGGTTATATGAAAGATTTCTTGCTGTTGTGCAATACATTGTGCTGTTGCGCAATACTTAGTAAATCTGTTGTCAGACTAAACAAATAAAATCTTATAACTCGGAAACGTAAAATCGAAAATTCATAAAAATCAAAAGGGAGCTTACAAAAACAGATATTAACAATTTACCAAAGTTGCATAAAAAATGCTGAAAGCATTTTTGAGTTATTGTCCGAAAACTGGAAAATCCCCCTTTTTGTAATGAATAAAACCCCATCAATCGGAAACGTATAGTCTGAAATTTATAAAAATCAAAAGTGAGCTCATGGCGATAGAAATAAACATTTCACCAAAGTTTCTTGCAAATTGGTGAAATTGTTTTTGAGTTATTGTCTGAAAACTGGAAAATCCCCCCTTTTTTAATGAATAAAACCCCATAACTTGGAAATGGTAAATCCGAAATTTATAAAAAATGAAAGGGATCTCACGTCAATAGATATGAACAATTAACAGAGGTTTCATGCAAATTGGTGAAATTTTGTTCGAGTTATTGTCCGAAAACAGGAAAATCCCGTTTTTTTAATGAATAAAACCCCAAAACTCGGAAATGGTAAATCTGCAATTTATAAAAAACGAAAGGGAGCTCAGGTCAATAGATATAAACAATTCACCAAAGTTTCATGCATATTGGTAAAAATTTTTTTGAGTTATTGCCAGAAAACAGGAAAATCCCCCCTTTTTTAATGATTAAAACCCAAAAACTCAGAAATGGTAAAGCTGCAATTTATAAAAAACGAAAGGGAGATCACGTCAATAGATATAAACAATTCACCAAAGTTTCATGCATATTGGTTAAAGCGTTTTTGAATTAATGTCCGACATGTTGACGAAGAACGGACAGTCAACAGTATACCATAATTAATACGTCCCGTAAACGGGCGTTTAAAAACTGACGTCACTGGTGCATGACATTTTCTTGATTTCTGGATTATTTATGTGGTGGTAATATGCATTTACTTACTCCACACATATTTTGGCGTTGACTTTCTTGAGAGTGAATCACTCCTGTCACTCAGAAATAATAATCATCATTGTCTATTGACTCGAAGCGAGCTGGGATTATAATTGACATCATTGTGACATTGAAATTTAAGGTCTAAATAAAAGCAGAAGTTATTGAGAGCAACCCAACAGTGGTGAAACATTTAATTTTTTTATGGTAAAAAATATATTCAGCTAAGGTCTTTCCTTATTTCCAAACATGATTCAACTTTTCTTTGTACCATTTGAAAATTGCAATTGGTATGAAAATGTGTTGCTGTTTAATTGATCATGATGTACATGTATACCACGTTTTAGCTGTGACTCTCTGCAAAAGGTGAATTACTTGTCACTCAGAAATAATAATCATCATAGTCTGTTGACTCGAAGCGAGCTGGGATTATAATTGACATCATTGTGACATTTAAACTTAAGATAATTAAAGAACAGAGTTCCAATGTCCCCCGCATTCCACATATTGTATCTATCCAAGGTACAAGGGCAATAACTAAATAAAACTTTGGTTCTTTAAAACAATTTATAAATATCTAAAAGAAATAAAAGCTTCAGAGCAAATGCAATGCAATTTCCATTTTTTTCAAGGGACATAACTCTTTAAAAATATTTGATTAGCACTGATTTTCGAAAGTGTCAGACATTGCTGATATAAACGTTACCCTATGATATAAGTTTCATAAAAATCTGGCAAGAATTGTACACGAGAGCACCAACAATGCAATTTCCCATATGATCAATATATCCAAGGGACATAACTCTTTTAAAAATAGATCTGCACTGATTTTCGAACTCATTCAAGACATTGCTGAAATAAACTTTTTGTATAAGTTTCATTAAAATCTTGTAAGAACTGTACATGTGAGAGCGCTTACAAGACCGGACGGACAAACGCCCGGTATTTCTATGTCTCCTGCAACACATTCGCGGTGGAAAAAAATAATAGGGGAAGTTATTGACACAGCAACCCAACAGAGGTGAAACATATAAAATTATTTATTCAGTGAATGGCCATCCTTGTTTCCAAACATGATCGGCATCATGAAAAACAAAAACCGGTGAAAATATCAACTTTTGCAGTATATATACTTGTTTATACAAACATCTATCCAGAAAATTATCAATTTTAACATGAAAGTTACTGGTGCATAATATTCTCTTGATTTCTGGATTATTTATGCTGTGGTGGTATGTGGTTTCATTTATGTCCACCACACATATTTGTGCGTTGACTTTCTGGAAAGAGGGAATCACTCTCGTCACTCAGAAATAATAATCATCATAGTCTATTGACTCGAAGCGAGCTGGGATTATAATTGACATCATTGTGACATTTAAACTTTAATATACATAAAAGGAGAAGTCATTGAGAGCAACCCAACAGCATGAACAGTGGTGAAACATTTATGGTAAAAATATATTCACCTAAGGTCTTTCCTTATTTCCAAACATGATTCAACTTTTCTTTGTACATTTTGCACCATTTGAAAATTGCAATTGTAATCAAGAGACAAGAAAAACAAACTCACAAAATATTGAAATTGGTATTAATATGTATTGCTGTTTCATTGACGTATACCACATATTTTTAGCTGCGACTCTCTGGAAAAGGTGAATTACTCGTCACTCAGAAATAATAATCATCAAAGTCTGTTGACTCGAAGCGAGCTGGGATTATAATTGACATCATTGTGACATTTAATTATAAACTTAAGATAGAAATAAAAGGAAAAGTTATTGAGACAGCACCCAACAGTGGTAAAACATATAAAACTATACAGTCCAACTGTATGAAGAATCACTCATGGGAAGTATCAAAAGTGAACTCTCAAGAGAGGTGACCTTTTATTTGCAAGTAGCTGGGATCAGGGCAAATGTGTTTAAATTTTCAATAGGTCGAGTTATTGTTCGTGCGAGTATACAAATAAAAATTCGTAAGGGTTCCGTGGAACCCAGTGTCTCGCCTACTTTTTGCTGTTAATCACAGGCTCAGCAAAAATGAGGAAAAAAATTAATAAAAATATTCCTCTCTATACTATCTTTTGATTGTAAGTAGCTTCTGTCCAAGTTTGGTAAAAATCCAGGATAGTTTATGAATCTAATAAATGTTTTAAAAACTTAAACTGCAGACTGTATGTAATGTTAACTGGAAGAAAAACTAAGTCCATTTATAAGTAAAATACGGAAAAAATGGAACAAGATTTCCTTCTAGATACTAGCTTTTAATCATAAACAAGCTTCTGTCTAAGTTTGGTACAAATCCAGGATAGTTTAAGAAAGTTGTTCAAATTTTAAAAACTTTAACCACAGAGTGAATGTAATGTTAACTGGCAGAAAAACTAAGTCCATTTATAAGTAAAATACGGAAAAAATGGATTTTTTTTTTTACAAAATTTACTTCTGGATACTAGCTTTTAATCATAAACAAGCTTCTGTCCAAGTTTGGAACAAATCCAGGATAGTTTAAGAAAGTTGTTAAAATTTTAAAATCTTTAACCACAGAGTGAATGTAATGTTAACTGGCAGAAAAACTAAGTCCATTTATAAGTAAAATACGGAAAAAATGGAATTTTTTTTTACAAAATTTACTTCTGGATACTATCTTATGATCATAAACAAGCTTCTTTCCAAGTTTGGTAGAAATCCAGGATAGTTTAAGAAAGTTATTAAAATTTCAAAAACTTTAACCACATAGTGAATGTAATGTTTCCTGGCAGAATAACTAAGTCCATTTATAAGTAAAATACGGAAAAAATGGAATTTTTTTTTTACAAAATTTACTTTTGAATATTATCTTATGATCATAAACAAGCTTCTGTCCAAGTTTGGTAGAAATCCAGGATAGTTTAAGAAAGTTATTAAAATTTCAAAAACTTTAACCACAGAGTGAATATTTGTTGACGCCGCCGACGACGACGCCGACGCCGACGGAATGTAGGATCGCTATGTCTCGCTTTTTCGACAAAAGTCGAAGGCTCGACAATAAATGGGGAATAGATGATGCCCCCGCTTGCATTTCATATAAAGTTATAAAGGGACATAACTGAAGAACGGTAAAAGTGACACTACCCAAATTTGTACTTGATCTGAGTTTTGTGGTAATAAGTATTGTGTATAAGTTTCATAACATTTAATTGAGGCAAACTTAAGTTAGAGAACAGAAACGAAAAAATTCAGCAATTTTTGCATTTGTAAATGGGCACAACTCTAGAACTGTTAAAGTGACACCACCTAAATTCAAACTTGATCTGTATTTTGTGGTAATAAGCATTGTGTATAAGTTTCATGACATTTGGTTGAGGCAAACTAAAGTTAGAGAATGGAAACCAACTTTGGGACGTACGGACAAGGGTAAAACATAATGCCCCCTCCGCTACGGCGGGGGCATAAAAAATGGCGGATTACACCACTCTAAATTTGAAGAAAACATTTGAAATAGCTAATATTCCTGTAGAAATAAGTCTATGATACTGGTGCATGAAATTCTCTTGATTTCTGAATTTTTTCATGTGTTGATGGTATGCTGTTTCAGTAACATACACCACTTATTTTTGCTGCGACTGTGGAAAGAATGGATCTCTCATGTCACTCAGAAATAATAATCATCAAAGTCTGTTGACTCGAAGCGAGCTGGGATTATAGTTGACATCATTGTGACATTTAAACTGAAGATAAAAATAACAGAAGTTAGTGAGACAGCAATCCAACAGTGGTTAAACTTGTAAGAGCTTTCTAGAATTAATTAAATGGGGGGAGGGGGGGTTTATATGAATTAATCAATAAATTTTTACAAATGGCCGGGTTAAATAAAAAGTGCCTTTCGACACCCCTCCCCATACATTTATTTCTGGACTGGCCATAAAGTAAAAATACATTCGACGAAGCTCTTTCTCTGACATTTTAAATTTGATGCCATCCTGATAAAAGGTCATGGAGAACGCTGAGGATCTATTTGGATTATTTCTTACCTTCAGATCCCCATGAGAAGTTGCCTTGATCCAGACGTAGAGCTCTGTACTTCTTATTTCCACCCATTGTTCTTACTGTATGTATTCTCTGTGGTCCAAGCTGAAAAACAAACATTATATTACCGCACAGGCCTCTACATTATCATTTTTTCTAACTTGTCCCTTTGAACATGTTCGAAGAAAATCAACTTGTCCGAACTCATAACTCACTTGTCCCAATTCAAAATTGAAAATCTTACATATTGATGATATGCACCAATAACACTTGAGCTTTGATCGTACCTAATGCTGGGAGCAATTTGTTAACTTATGCTATAATCTATGGTTCGACACTAACGCTAGCCCGGTAGCCCTAGACTAGTAACATTTGTGTCGGGCTAGTGAAAGTCTGTGGCGCGGTAGCCCTAGGGGCTAGTAAATTTATTTGTCATTGAACATCAAAACTCTTGTAATTTCAGCAAAGTACAGTACTAACACCGGTCAAATCTGACAACTTCGTCGATTAATGTCTACATTGGTTCCACGACCTATTCATTTAACTTGGCGGGTATCATTTCTACCAAAAACCAGTCGCAATAAACGTCAACTCGGCCTTAGATTACTCGGACCGATGAAACATCGTATGACCAAGTTTCTCAAAGTTGAAAATTAAAAAATGGATTCAAATTATTCCATAAATTGCCAATGCTTGACTGTACCTTAAAATGAATATCTATATCCAAATTAAATTAATAAAAGCAGTAATCATGCAAACAAATCATGGTCACATGCAATATTTGTATGTTTACATTTGTTGGGAACTTTTTGGCAGGAAAATATGGGAAATCCCTAAATTAATGACTAAACACTTGGTCCGAGATGAAACAGAAAATAATCGGACCAGACTCAAAATTACCGGACATTTGCCTATGTCCAACCGACCTTCGGAATCACTGGTATATACCTAAATGCGTTACAAACATTTATTTTTAAATACACCTGGCCACCTTGTGAATTTCAACTGATTAAAACCTGTTAGAGATCGCGATTCCGGTGACCAGGATCTCTCTGGATTTATCGTTTTAGATACAGTGTATGAAAGTTTCTCCCTGAGAGGTTCGAATGAAATCTTCCCAGCATATTAACATTGATTTTTTTCCCCCTTACTTATTATATTCCCCTGGTTAGCCGCTGCCAGCATGTACAATCAATGAATATTTATTTCATTTCGTATGATCAATAAAAAAATCATCCAATTTTTGGGGAATTTTTAAGTCTTGAATTTGATATATTTTACATCTGACATCGCTTTTTCACTTGTCCCATCGGATAAGTAGTATGGTAAATCTACTTGCCTGACGTCTGTGTCCACTTGTCCCGGACAATAGGACAAACGGTAATATCGAGCCCTGCCCCATGGGAAAATAAATTGCTTCGCTAAGCGCAGCTGGATACGCCCGCAGAGGTCCAACCCTGAACAGTTGGGGCAAAAATGGACACAATATTCAAGCTTGATACAGGTCTGAATTTGGATTGTAATTAAATATTTGACATATTAAAGGTTTCTGAATAAATGTAGTCAAAGAACTTGAAATTGGTTATATAAATTGAATTTATATTCAATTAATATTTCTTGCTGTTGTGCAATACAATGTGCTGTTGCGCAATACTTAGTTAATCTGTTGTCAGACTATAAACAAATAAAGTTCAATTTCATCTCAATTTCATACTTGAAATTTATGAAAATCAATAGGGAGATTACATCAATAGCTATAAATAATTCACCAAAGTTTCATGAGAACTGATGAAAGCATTTTTGAGTTATTGTCGAAAAACTGGAAAATCCCCCCTTTTTTAATGAATAAAAACCCTATAACTCAGAAATGTAAAATCTAAAATTTATAAAATTCTAAAGGGAGTTTACATCAATAGATATAAACAATTCACCAAAGTTTCATGAGAACTGCTGAAAGCATTTTTTAGTTATTGTCAGAAAACTAGAAAATCCCCCTTTTTTTATGAATAAAACCCTGTAACTCGGAAACGTAAATTCTAAAATGCATAAAAATCCAAAGGGAGCTCATATCAATAGATATAAACAATTCACCAAAATTTGTTGCAAGTTGGTGAAAGCATTCTTGAGTTATTGTCGGAAAACTGGAAAATCCTCCCTTTTTTAATGAATAAAACCCCAAAACTCGGAAACGGTAAATCTGAAATTTATAAAAAACGAAAGGGAGCTCACGTCAATAGATATAAACAATTCAAAAAAGTTTCATGCATATTGGTTAAAGCGTTTTTGAGTTAATGTTGACGACGGACGGACAGACGGTCAACGGTATACCATAATACGTCCCGTAAATGGGCGTATAAAAATGAAGAAAACAAGCAAAAATAAAAACTTGGGATTATAATTGACATCATTGATGCCACAGACTTGTAAAATTTTATTCGGACTGGCAAGTATTTGCAAATATTTGTTAAGTCAGTAAAGACACGTATGAAAATTGTTGGAATGTTGGTCTTCGAAAATAGTTGGAAAAGATTTTGGTGCAGACAGCAGACTGAATAATGGCTCTATCATACTTTTTTAGCAGAAACAGATTTTAAGTTTTTTATGCTTTGAACTAACGGCACCTATACAGCTTTATTTCTTATGAAGACTTGTTTAAACATGTTAAATAAACATTTTATCTAATTTTTTTTAGTTCATCAGGTTGGAGAAGATCCTCAGAATTTGGTGCTATCAACATTATGGGTATTATTCCCAAAATCAGGTATCAATTTACAGGTAGTGTGATAAAAAATCAAATGATAGCCGTCATGGTGCAAATATTCATTTACATGGCAACATTTTCCCCTTTAACACCATAGTTCAAATGAGAACTGAATACAGAGATAACGGGCTCCAATAATCCTACATTCAGAAGGATGTAAACTTTTATCCTGATATTTCAGTCATGGTGTCTCAAGGCAAACTGTTGTTCATTACTCCAATGTTTGCGCCATGACAGAAAATATCTGTAAATCCAAATTCTATTTTTTCATCATTGAAAATTGATATACCAGTTTTGGGGTGTAATACCAATAAATGAGGATATTACCCATTTATGTGGATCCTCCCCAACCTTAGTTCATGGTGAGTTTATGTTACCACAACATACTTTAGTGTTTGCTGGAGGGCGTCCCAATTCAAACTTCCTCTTCTTTCTCATCTGGGTCATACGACCTCCAGTCTTCCTCCTCTTGTGCCATTTATCACGAGAGATACCTAGTTTATACAAAGATATTAAAGTATTAGAAATATCAATACACAACACAATCTTATTATAGTAATAAAAATTGTGAGTTTAGGATTTTTTTCGTTCACATTCATCCACGATGGGAACATGTACAAGAAAAAAGGAACCTAGTTGTAACAATTTCAAATGACAGAGGTATCGATAACCTACTGCTTTTTTTAGAATGGCTTCCCTGATTTCCTAAGATCATTCACTTATCAAGAATATAAAATCAATTTTGCACCTAACTCGTGTAAAATATGATGAACCCAAATATCCAGAATGTTCGACTTATATTATCCGAAAAATTTGGGATCATGGCAAAATTGAATCTCAAGTTGAGAAATATGTCGCAGGAAGACGTCACAGCAAAAAATTAAAATAGCCTTTCAAGACATCATAATTATTTGGACGTCAATGACAATGCCGTGAAGATTTCAATTTCAAAATAGATATGTATAGATCGTTAAGATATACATTATTTCCTAATCATACATGATGTATAAAAGTATTATCTCATAATGTCGTCATAATATAATTCATCATAAACTTTTGTTACACAAATAATTTGATATTCAGTTGCACTAAGAAATTACCTTATAAAAATATCAACTTTAACCATAAAGCAGAAATTTGCAATTAACAATAGCAAACAGCGATAAATTGTTGCACCTAAAATAACAATTTACAGAACCTATTCATAATCATGGGAATTCCTTTTCACTTGCTACCGGAGTTAAAATTCATAGTTTTATCCAAAATTGGAACTAAATTTCGCATAGATTTAATTTTCAACTTTTCTGTTGAAAAAGCCAGGGCTAGCAATGAACTCTGAAGATTGCATTGACTGCTGAACATTTTAAAATGAAACCAATCCAAACGTGTCTGTAGGGTCAACCGATAGAAGTGTCTTCTATTAATTTTAGGTTTAAACAAACGTCATGTCATTCAAAATCGTGTAAACGAAATTGCAGACAAACATGACTTTATTTTCAAATGAATATATGTGTCTGTTTATTCCCGATGGTTGAGATGTAGAAGGATTTAGGCTTTAATAATTTTCGCCATACCCATGATGGAGTTTCAAACCGGAAAAAGAAAGATCACCGGAAGCTACGGTGTAACCATACCATTTCGGTTGTGGAGATAAAAAACATTTCCGGAATTTCTGACAGGTGTAAGTCAACACTATGATGGGCCGATGAGGACCTGAGGGAATAGAAGGAGTGAAAAATAAGGTTATTCTGGGGGGGGGGAGGGGGGGTTAAACGATTTTCGGCTAGGAGTAAGGTGGAAGGGAAGTTGGTGTAGGCGGAGGGAGTGGAAATCAAGAACCCCCTGTCCACTCCATCTTCTTAGATTGTTACTAAGTTCCTTTTTTTGGGTTGACTGTTTGTTGTTTGCTTAAAGTCTAGCGACAGAATCCTATTCTTCGTGGTTAGTTTGTCTCATTGAATTATGCCTGTTTGTGTGGCCAACCCAATTTTGTCAATATAACGGAACTCCAAGCAACTGTCATACTAGTGGGATGTTTACCTATAGCTATAAATTAAGCCAGGTCTTTGGCCTATTGTTTATTGAATATTGATTTGATAGTTTTCAGAAGAAAATATACATTGAAAAATATTTTTTTTCCCAAGAATATCAGATACATTCTTTATTTAAAACATACGGGTACTTTTCCTGTCATTCAAAATCTAACTATGCAAACTACCCGTAAAAATACCAATGAAATGTGGACTGAATAAATATATATATATATACGTTTTATTGCATTTTTTAGTTTAGACCAGGTAATTAACAAGTCTTTTAAAACTAATTAATGTTGCTGATTGTCTCGAGTGAATAACCGATAATTGTGACACTATTATTGATTATAATCATAAATTTATACAGATTATTTTTTTCTTTTTTCTTCAAAACAATCACATCTGATTAATCCATAATAACTCATCTTTGAGATAATTTTTGTAGTATAGAAAGTTATCGCTAGTGCCAGCATGACGGGTCAACCCGTGGTAAAATCATGAATTATTTCTTAACTATATATATTTATTTATTTGCGTATGATATACCGAATACACCGAGTAAAATATACCGCTTGCATATTATATCATTGTATAGTAGAACTGTTTGATAACTATAAATACAATAATTTCAAGTAAACGCTTAGAACAGAACTGATGATAAAGCACTGTCCCTTTCTTTGATTGCATTATTGTTTTTTGTCAAATGCTTGTAAGGATCCACTAAATGATAGTACGTATTTAGTTATACATGTTACCAGTGGTTTATAAATTAAATTTTGTTTGACACACATGAATCAGTGATAAATGGCGGAGAAGGAAGGACGAAATCATGACACCAATTTAATCGTTTCATCACCAGTGGTTTCTAGTTACAAAACCGAGAGTGACAATCTTTGACTTAACATACTTGTATAGTCACTGCATGTCATTCAACATACGTTTCTCGTTTTTTATATAGATTAGACCGTTGGTTTTCCTGTTTGAATTGTTTTACACTAGTCATTTTGGGGCCTTTTAGAGCTTGCTGTTCGGTGTGAGCAAAGGCCCCGTGTTAAAGGCCGTACTTTAACCTATAATTGTTTACTTTTTACACATTATGACTTGGATGGAGAGTTGTCTCATTGACACTCATACCACATCTTCTTATTTATATTTATTTTTATATTGCCCTTTTAGCACACAAACAGCCTTTTTAGTCCTCGCTGCCATCTTTAAATTTTATATCTACTGTCGTCCTCGATGTCTTTCTGAGTTCTTTTAATTCTGTGGTATCCATACATAGATATAAGAAGATGTGGTATGAGTGCCAATGAGACAACTCTCCATCCAAGTCATAATGTACAATCTGGTATTAACCAGTAACATTCATAACGTCGATATATTTTTATCCTGGAAGTGTGTTTGTCATGTCCATGGAAAAAGTAGGAGTTCGATCCTCGGCAAAGATCCGTCAACATATATAACTAACCTACTGATAAAATACTAAAACTAAACCATATGTTATGGCCCCAGATCGATGAAGCTATGAATAAGAAAGAAGATGCTGGTGATTAGAATTTGGTGACTTTTCCCGTGAAGTCCAAACAACAACTTTAGAGCTACCATTCAGTAAATTGACTTCATGGGATGACTTTCCTTCACTATACTTTTCTGTTAAAAACAATGCTGACCAAATGAAAACGGTAGTATATCAGACAATTTTAGTCACCCAAACAAAGGGAGGTAGTAATCTACCAATATACAACTTAAATTCATTGTTAATCTTTATAACTCTACATCATCATGATCATCAATCTTGGTCAATGACAGGTGTACGATATTTCTTAGACAACTTTTTTTACTTCAATCCTTGAATATCTACATCAACATTCAGAACAAATTGACATCATCAACAAGAGTGTAAAGGGTATGGTTCTGAACTATAAGACTGATACTATTTCTGAGAATAGAGATGATAAAATGCCAGATAAACAGCATATTTCCATAACAAATAACCGTATTACATATAGATATGTCAGTTCCAGTTAAAACAGTACCGATAGAGACAATATCTGCTCGTCCGATTTGCTCTGACATTACAAATGTCGCAATCTGATTAAAATCAAGACCTATATCAACTCGCGTGCTCATACATGAGTTTAACGAAATCAAAAAACTATATTTTAATTAGATTGCAAATGTCGATACAATTAACTGTCTAGAATGGTTTCATTATACATTTACATCTAAATAAATTAAATGTCGACAAAATCGATCCCAGTCAAAGCACCATTCACTTGACAATGCCCGTCATGTTGCAATGACCCTGTGTCTATGAACACGCCAAGCATTAATTATTCTTTATGTGTGTACCAACTCCTGAATTATGTGCAACAGATGCACCGTTACCTTCGATGCCATCATCAGCAAGCATGGGCTTAACCACAATACGCAATATCTCAAAATTTTATGTATCTACAACTTTGTCTACTATTTATAGTGCTTGTTCATCACCCGTATCAGCTGCTAGCTCTGTCCCATGCGTTATTCCAAGTTATGCATGCATGTTTGACGTCTACTCTACATCAAATACAGCCAAATTAGATAGTTCCAATACAACATATACAACTTCAGTTTATGAGGTACGATTTCATATACCACTTAAAAAACCAAAAAGCGGGTTCCAAATAAATGATCACATATTGGCTGTAGAGAATGATAACCTAAAACTTGAGTAGAAATAAATGACCAGGAGAGAATTATAAATTTGCTTAAATCTGCAAAACCTAGTAATAAGCATACAGATATACAAAACCTATAGTAATGAGCATACAGGTATACAAAACCTAGTAATGAGCATACAGGTATACAAAACCTAATAATGAGCATACAGGTATACAAACCAAGTAATGAGCATACAGGTATACAAACCAAGTAATGAGCATACAGATATACAAAACCTATAGTAATGAGCATACAGATATACAAAACCTAGTAATGAGCATACAGGTATACAAAACCTAGTAATGAGCATACAGGTATACAAACCAAGTAATGAGCATACAGATATACAAAACCTATAGTAATGAGCATACAGATATACAAAACCTAGTAATGAGCATACAGGTATACAAAACCTAGTAATGAGCATACAGGTATACAAAACCTATAGTAATGAGCATACAGGTATACAAAACCTATAGTAATGAGCATACAGGTATACAAAACCTAGTAATGAGCATACAGGTATACAAAACCTATAGTAATGAGCATACAGGTATACAAAACCTAGTAATGGGCATATAGGTATACAAAACCAATAGTAATGAGCACACAGGTATACAAAACCTAGTAATGAGCATACAGGTATACAAAACCTAGTAATGAGCATACAGGTATACAAAACCTATATAGTAATGAGCATACAGGTATACAAAACCTAGTAATGAGCATACAGATATACAAAACCTATAGTAATGAGCATACAGGTATACAAAACCTATAGTAATGAGCATACAGGTATACAAAACCTATAGTAATGAGCATACAGGTATACAAAACCTAGTAATGAGCATACAGGTATACAAAACCTATAGTAATGAGCATACAGGTATACAAAACCTATAGTAATGAGCATACAGGTATACAAAACCTAGTAATGAGCATACAGATATACAAAACCTATAGTAATGAGCATACAGATATACAAAACCTAGTAATGAGCATACAGATATACAAAACCTATAGTAATGAGCATACAGGTATACAAAACCTATAGTAATGAGCATAAAGGTATACAAAACCTAATAATGAGCATACAGGTATACAAAACCTAGTAATGAGCATACAGGTATACAAACCAAGTAATGAGCATACAGATATACAAAACCTATAGTAATGAGCATACAGATATACAAAACCTAGTAATGAGCATACAGGTATACAAAACCTAGTAATGAGCATACAGGTATACAAAACCTATAGTAATGAGCATACAGGTATACAAAACCTATAGTAATGAGCATACAGGTATACAAAACCTAGTAATGAGCATACAGGTATACAAAACCTATAGTAATGAGCATACAGGTATACAAAACCTAGTAATGGGCATATAGGTATACAAAACCTATAGTAATGAGCATACAGGTATACAAAACCTAGTAATGAGCATACAGGTATACAAAACCTAGTAATGAGCATACAGGTATACAAAACCTACAGTAATGAGCATACAGGTATACAAAACCTAGTAATGAGCATACAGATATACAAAACCTATAGTAATGAGCATACAGGTATACAAAACCTATAGTAATGAGCATACAGGTATACAAAACCTATAGTAATGAGCATACAGGTATACAAAACCTATAGTAATGAGCATACAGGTATACAAAACCTAGTAATGAGCATACAGGTATACAAAACCTATAGTAATGAGCATACAGGTATACAAAACCTATAGTAATGAGCATACAGGTATACAAAACCTAGTAATGAGCATACAGATATACAAAACCTATAGTAATGAGCATACAGATATACAAAACCTAGTAATGAGCATACAGATATACAAAACCTATAGTAATGAGCATACAGGTATACAAAACCTATAGTAATGAGCATACAGGTATAC